CATTTTATTTATATATATAATCATGTATAATTATATATATAAATTCATATATAATTTTATATAACTACCCAGATAGAAAAATGATGTCATGTTGCGCTCAGCACGCGCTCATATATTGACGTGGATGATTGCAAAAATGCATACAAATGCGTGCGCATATGCTGCTCATATGTCGTTCATGTAATGATGATCAGAAAAATATCTCATCTAATAATATTATGATAACAAAACTTGATGGACTAGACATATTCGTATATCATTTGTATACATCTTGTGCTCATATCATGTTAATCACATAATGATCTTTAAAAAGGTATCAAGGTGAAATCACATTATGATGAAACGTGATCATCACGCATTTCTATCTGGGTACGCATAGATTTATATGTAATTATACATATTGTTATACATAATTGTGTATACCCACACAGCACAGAAGTTTCAAAAAGCTTTTAGAAAGATTTCAGGAAGATCTCAGAAAGGTTTAACGTTCCTGTTGTATCTCTGAAACCTTTCTGAAAGGTTTTTGAAATTTCTATGCTGTGTGCCCTTATAGAAATATCGGGAGCGGTGCACTTGGACACGGTGCATTTGGACACAACCAATCATAGCACCGTGTGATTAGAGACATTTGTAGGGTCCCTTGGAACAGCGACTTGTGATTGGACTGTGTCCAATTGCCCCGTGTCCAACTGATATATACCCGAAATATCATACTAAGAATCATTGACAATTACTTATTATCCAGTATTTTTAATACTGAAAATAAGTAATTATCAATGATTCTTAGTATGATATTTCTATAAGGGTAAAAGCTGTACACTGAGAGAAAAATGTACGATATTTAGAACTATAATAGCATAGTAAAAATATTATATTTAGGAATATAATTTATACAGTAAATGTTACCATAATATTTGTAATATTTACAATATAAGTATAGTATAACTAACCCGTGTAAAATTTTTACCAAGAATTATAATTATTTGAAATAAAAAATATGGTAAG